TAACTTTGTTCGCTTCCTCTAGTCAGTTGCTTTTCTTCGTGTCTTTTTGGCATCTATGGAGCTGGCAGCTGTAACCAAAGCGAATTACCATGGTAACGTTCATCCTAAGTTAAATGACCGCATCTTCCTTTTGCCAGGCGAAAATACCACTTTTTTTTGTTAGGCGTGAAGAAAGTATCACTTTTGAAGCCAGCTGCAACAAGCAACACATTCATTTAATGTTATCCTTTTATCCCTTTTGTATGTGAGGAATTTTTAATTTTTCGTGACAAAATTCATACGTTTATCAGTATTTTCTCATATCACACTATAATCCTGTATGTTGATTCATCAAAAGATTCTCTTAAAATGCTCATCTTGTGATGCGTGAAAAACAGCTGCTACTGATTAATAGTTTGGTTCATTGTTGGTAACTTTCCTGTTACATTAACCAAAACTCCATTATTTGTCAGTTAGCCTGTTGCTAATTCTAGAGAGAAGCACTTGGCAAGATTTTATAATTTTCATTATTTTCTTGATGTGTATTGAGCATTATTTCGTTCTTACTGGCCAAAAATTGTAAATTAAGGCGAACTACATGTCGGATGAGCAAATGCAAAGCGCCGAACGCGGTGTTTATGAAATCATGGAATGTTTGCGCCCTGAAGCAGTCGCTTTAGTGGATTCGTTCGACTTCTCCGATCGTGAGCTTCATTCTGTGCTTGGTCGACGTGATGGTAACGTTTATGCAGCAATGTTGGAATGGGCAAAACATTCGAAGTTGAATAAAACTGAAGTAATTTCTTTAAAGTTTCCGACAAATGTTTGACTTTTTTGTGGCCTTAATTTATGCAAACAACTTTTTAGTCTAGAGGTACCTCACTGTAAACCAGGAATGGCAATGTTCAGAATGTGGTAGTAATGAATAAATACATCCAGTTACTTCCCGAAAACCTTAGGAGATCTTGCCTAACACCAAGTGCTTTCATCGGGAGAACCGTCGAGATGATTTCTACTGGCGACGAAGCGAATGTTTAGCCTACTAGTGAGTGATGATCAGGTGATGCAGCACTGATCCAACCAGCTAGGAAAGTTGTTAGCTGCATAGATAGCTGGAAAGGTAAACTATGAATATCAGCTAATCAAGATCTCCTAACCACTGACACAATGGCAAAAATTACCACTTTTTTGCGCGGACTTGGAATTTTTTTTTTTTTTTTTTTGCGATATGTTGTTTAGTAAATGAATATTCTTAAAGGCAGCTGTATTTGAAATTGCAGTTTGAAATTAGTGTTGGAACATAAAAACGCTACATTTTATCTTTGATTTGATTCAAGGTAGGAAGAAAATTGAAGTATAAGTGTGTCAGATTTTGACGATTTTTGTGTTGCAGGTCATAGCAACGTTCGAGAAGTATCTCGGTCCAATGATGGAAGAAGGCCGCTCAAAAATCTAATTTGCCTGGTCGTTCTGTTTTTGTAAATAAATCATAAAGTCATATCTAATGCTGAGCTGGCAGGCATGCCAAAGTGGTAAGTAGCCGGTGAACAACTTATAAATGCTCTACGATTCATTCCTTTATATAAATACTTTACGTTTCATTCATTTCAATATTGTATAGATTGTAGCTTGTTACAGTAGGAGTCAGTGGCGTCCTCAGTTTGCATTTAAATAATCATTGAAAGAGCTAGTCATCGACAATTTTGCCAACATTTTGTTACTGTTGGTAATTGCTATCACTCGAATTACTTCAGAGTGCTTCCGCTTGACACAGCGGTTAAATGTGAGAAGGTTTTGAATGGCTCTTTTGGGTTTCACTAAATATTAAAATTTGACTGTTTTTTTTCTTTGTTGGCCTACACTGCAACCAAATTACACATGCAGCCGTAATTACACACGTCTTTACCCCGTCTTGCTCCAACCCTTTAACGCTGTCAATTTGATTATTTTCATTAGCATTTCAGTAGCATTCCAAATTTTTCAGTACTTGGGCACATTTCACTTGCCGCTGATCATTGCAATGATTTTGGAGATTTTAATAGAAATACTGTGATATCTCTTTAACAGGTAATGCACGATGCAGTTGGAATTCTAATGATAAGTGTTTGTCCCGTTGTTGTTCTGTGATTACTGGTGTGCCTGATATTGTCGTGATAGCTCATTTTTGTGCCTTTGTTCCTGGTTTTAGACACATTGGCTGTTATTTTTTATGCATGCAATAAACCGCGTGAATTTGAATTTGCAAACTTGCACACTGCTATCGTTCCAGTTTAATACTTTTTGTACCCTTTATTTAGGCCTGTTTTATCCATATAACTATTGTCCATACCGATGCGGCATTCATTTTTTATGCGTTTTGGCATATATGCAAATGCAAAAGGGCATACTGGCAAGAGGCTGTCTGTGTGTTCGCACTTTTTGTCACCCACTTTCAACTCGAGAACCAGAAAAGCTAGAAGGCTGAAACTTTGGGAATATACGCCCACATCATGTGCGACTCTCCCGTTTTAATATCACCACTCGCGCTCACCGGGGTACCGCGTACGGACGCTTTAAAAAAATATGCAAATTTTTTGGTAGGAAAGCAATCTCGGGAACCAGAGAAGATAGAAGAATGAAACTTTGCAGGGATATTCTCTGTTCATACATGAGCTAAAGATTTCAAGTTCAATCTCAAAGTATTCATGGTTCTCCCTTGCGGACACGTGAAAGATTTGGCGGGGAAATTGCCAATCCGGTGACCAGAAAAGCTGGGAGGCTGAAATTTTAAATGGATGTTTCCCGTATACGTACAGTTTAAAGATTTCAAATTCATTCCCCCCCCCCTTCTCCGCCTCCCCGGTACGCGTAGTAGTCATATAAAATTTTCAGCGGTAAATTTACTAGCTTGGGAGCCAGAAAAGCTAGAAAGTTGAGCTTTTGCGGTAATCATCCGTGTCCAAGTGGAACAAGAAAAGTGTCCAAGTACAAATTAAATATTTCAAATTCGGCCTTTGTATATGCGTGGTTCTCAAGTACGGCCACTTGAAAGTTTTGGTGGAAAAATTGCTTGCTGAATAGAGGTCATTTTCAAAGAACGACCGTTAACCGGAAATTGTTCATTTCTTTTTTGTAAAATTTTCGATAATTTGCGCTAGTGAGCGCAAGAGATAGGTATTAAGTAACAACCATTCATGCAGTTAACGACCTGAGTACTGCAAGTCTGGTGCAAAAACGCATGAT